TTGCTGTGATCACCCAAATTCTTAATAATTAAATTAAAACGGATAATTTAACGTGATTACGAGCAGAACCTTAATTTTACAAAAGTATATAAATGAATTTTTTTCTTTGATATTTAGTGTCATTTGAATTAAAACATACATTTAAAATTATTTTAAGAATATTGTTCTAATAAAAACTATTTAAATGCAATTTTTCAGTAAAAAACGAAGGAAGAATGATATATTTATGAGACATACATAAAAAATGCTTCGATAATAAAAAATATTTTGTCCATATATGGATAAGACTTCTACTCTAAGACTAAATTTAAAGTTTTGAAAAATTCACATTATTTTCAAAGTTTAAATCAGTTCAAATAATAACCGGTGTCTCTGTAAAAATTTATGTACTCTGATATATTAAAAGATGAACAAATCAGCTTCGAAATTATATTTTTTAAAAATCTTAAGGTATCCGACTACCCTAAAACCATGATTTTTTTCAAAAATTGGCAAATTTTTTTATGACTTTATTTTATAGAGCATTTTATTAACTTAATAACAATACCAAGTACTTTATTTTCCCTCCAGTAGAACAAAAACTACAAGCGTTTTAGTAAAAGCAAATGCCATAACTTTACACAAGATGTCAAACTTTAAAATGCGTTTTACTCGAAATGTGTTTTTTTCGAAAAACTCAAACGGGGACCACGATTGCTCAAAAAGTTTTGAAAATAATTAGCTGAAATTTTTTGCTTATGTTCTGCATAACAGTAGAAGTGTTTTGATCTTCAGATTTATCAATAACTGTTTTATTTCAAAATTTGCAGTTCTTTATGTGAATATAGTCAATGTTTTTTTAAGCAATTTCGTATAATGACTTAGATAAAGTGCTCTAGTTTTTGTAAAAATTAAAATATCTCTTATCGTGAAGGTCACTTCAAACAGGAATAACAAAGTAGCACATCACAATTGAAAAATTGAGAATTTTTTCATAAAATCTTTGTACAGAGCGGGCCCCGTTTATGTAATTTTTCGTACATTTTTACTAGTTTTTTTCCCATTTTAATAATAATAATTTTTTTTCTTTTACCAATTTTAGGATTGTTTCCTTAAAATATACTAAATAAATATAAAAATCACAAAAAGATCTCCATATCTCCTTTTTTTCAAAAAAAGTTGTCGCAAGTAGTCGGTTTAGGAATTGTAGAGAAGTTTTAGCTATATAGATAGGCAAAATGTTATAAAATCATTATTAATAAAAGAAGAATATTTTGAATTTTGAATGTATGTCATTTTTTCCTTATTCCCCCAATTGGATTTAAATAATTTTTTGTTGTAATAATATTCTTCAAACAATTTTATATGTATATTCTAATTCAACTGACATTAAATATCAAGAAATTATTCATTTATACGCTTTTACGAAATCCAGGTTCTGAACGTAGGCACCTTTAAATATCTATGCTCATTCGAGATTGCAAATTTTAAGAATTTTTCGAATGAGATAAATAAGTGCAGTCTTCGTAGAGAGAGAGAGATTTATAGTACTTTTTTAAATCATTTAACAACAAACGAATTCATTCGCTAATAGATTATTAGAATAACAAATATTTTTTAAATAAAATATTAATATTTAATTCTCTACAGGTAATAAGTTTTTGAATTTATTTTATGTTTTCCGTTTAAGGAACAATTACTGTATCCGATTTCAAATTTAGATATTTTCCCGGTCTGCCCTCAAACTAAGTCCCCCATTAAATCTTTACCTTTGGTTGCCATGACAACAAATTGAGCTCATTTTTGATAAAAGATGAAAAATGCTGAAACATTTAGAATTTGTACAAGAAATGATGAGCACCGTGATTACATATATTTATATTCATATTTTTTACTTTAAATTAAGCATTTTTTATGACTTCCCTTCATATCAATATATTCTCACATATCTCTAATCTATTTCTAAAAACATTAGTCTGAAAGAATTTTTCAAACTTTTAAAAATTATTTTAATGAACTGTGTGTTTCTTGTTTCCTTGGCAATGAACGACAAAAGTGAAAATAAATTTTTTGATTATTTACATTAAGCTATATATCAGGCTGGCGCTTATGAAATGGTCGGACTTTTAAGGTGACTGCCAACCTTTGGATCCAATTTTTTTTATAAAAACAAATTTTTAAAGTAAATTGAGTGTTTTTAGGAAGAAAAATAAAAAAAAAATGCACAAATACGTAAATTTTTTTAAATAAATATAGTACTTTTATAAAAACTGGTTGTTTTCAAGGAAATTTTACCAAATTTTAACTAAAACGGGTAACACTGTATAAAAATTTCTAATACAATTATCATAATTTTCTTTATACACAGCATACATATTATGGTGCTCTTCGAAATGAACCAAAATCTAAGAGAAATATTAAAATACAAAAAAATTACAGACATAATAATATGAAAGTTTTGATATTTTTCAAGTTATTTCTTTATAAAAACTACCCTAAATGAAAAAATACTTAACCTACAACAAAACTTATCGTCCACTTTATGAGAAATAGTATAATTTTTTTTTTAACATTCCCCCAAAAATTCAAAACGTTATCTGGTGTGGCTCTTAAGTTATCATGTATCTGGTAAAGAGTTTCTTTCGAAAACATAATTTTGAGGAAAATTCATTTAAAGTTTTATCTTACTGCCCTTTTGCATAGAGTGATGTTTTTTAAAATCCCTATAACTTTATTTCTATTCCGCGTAAAGGAAAAAAAACTGTTTTGGAAAGAAAAATGTTCAAACTATAAGATTTTGAAATAAAAAAAATGCCTTACGTAGACGAAAAACGACATTTTCTCTCTGCATATAAAACTGCCCATCTTTTTTTCAAAAGTTGCTAATTTAATCGAAATTGGCTCCATTTGCTTCAATACACCTTTCCCAAGGAGATTTTAATTCTTGTATGATTGACCTTAAAGAAATTCCGAATCTGATGTGGAATTTTTTGGACTGCCTTTCTTTTCATACTGCTTTGTGTGTAAAAACTGTTCCGAATGTTTAAAAAAAATGAAAGTTAGTGGTCGAAAAAGCCAGTGAATTAGCTGGGTGCTGCAAGATTTCCTATTTTAGTTCATTTATTTTCGTAATTGTTTTGTACGACGCATGCAGCCGAACGTTGTTATGGAGAAGTATTGAGTCATGTCGATTAATAAGTGATAGATGTATAATGCTCAATTCTTCCTTCTTTCTGGCAGCATAACAAATAACGTCGGATTCATTTTGATTATTGCTTTTAAAATATTATTTTCAATTATGTTTTGAGTCTTTCACGCAGTTCATTTTATTGGAAAATATCATCAGATTGAAATTTTTTAAGCCAATGCTGCACTGTCAATCGTTAACAGTATTCTCCCTAAATGTCTAGTTTCTACCTCGGCGAACCGTAAGGTAGATGTGCTTTTAAGGTTTGTGCCCGCCCCTGACGGAAGTGAGGCAGATAATAGCCCCAGAGCAACACATGCGAGATTCGCTTAAATGTGATCTGTGCGGTGTTCAGAAAGAAAATGTGCGGCCCCTTCTTTTTTCGCGAGCAAACTGTCACAGGAGTGATATTTTGAATATGTTCTTGTTGGTTGATGCCCCAGTAGCAGAACGACATTGGCATCTTCATTCTCCAAGTGGATGATGCACCATTACACTAGTCGGCCTAAGTGCAAGATTACCTCGAAGAACATCTCCCTCACCGATGGATTGGATGAGCTGCAGACTGCAACATTTCAATCATCCAATGGGCACTCAAAAGTCCTGACTTAACACTTTGTGATTTTTTCCTTAGGGGTTACGTAAGAGACAAGGTTCATAGCCCTTTCTGTTGATCCAGCGGAGCTGAAACAGGGTATCAAGCTGCTATCTATGGATTTCGTTCAAATACTTAAATACGCGTTTGGCCTGAAATTGATTACAGGCTCAATGTGTGTCGTGTGACTAAGGGTTCACACATGGAAAATTTGTGACTGTCTTTAACAAAATTTAAAATAACCCCATACACAATTTTGTTACAGGTAGCATATAATTGTTCTCGATTTATAATGCGTTAAAATTGTATATTTCTTTATGAATCACCTTATATTATGTGCAGCTTTTTCAGCATTATAACAAAGTTTATACACATAAAAAGTTATACGAATATTGGTTGAATTCGTGTCCTCATAAAATTTAACATGGAACACTGATGAGAAAATATGCTGTAGTTGTTATTACATATGGCTATATTGAAAGGAAAATCAAAACATATAAAACTATTTAAGTATCACACAAGAACAATGATAAATAATAAAAAAAGAACAAACATTTCAAGTAAAAACCAGTATAAAGTAATATTGGAACAAAAGCAAAAGGTTAAAAATTTAAATAAGAATAAAAAGAATATAAGAGATGCAGTCTTTACAATGAGTTCAAGAAAGCTTTGGCATTCCGGTATAGTTTGCTTATCTCACCACGTTTTTGACTCTTTATCTAGTGACGAGAAAATATTTTTTGTTGAAATGTTACTTTAGAAATGGATAATACGACTATAAACGAAATTATACCAAAAAAAAAAAGTGCATGACATAAAGAGGGAGACAAACGCTCAATATAAAGAGAACTCGACATTTCACGTACATCAACCTAATGTAATCATAAATGTTAATACTGCTTGAAATACAAATGCAAAGAAATTAATCACTTTGATCAATATTCTCAGAGAACAAGAAATACAAAAAAGCCAATTCCTACTTAGGTCAACAAAATTTTTTTTATTTTAGTTACATTTTATTAAAAAATTACAATTAATATAAATATTTATATACATATGACAGAATCACAATATTAAGTAGCCAAATAGAAAGCGTTTTTCCTTCCAATTTTCAATTTTCCTTCCTGTATAAGATGGTGGGCTATTATTTTTGTTTGTTATCATCATTCATGTGAATTAAATTAAATTATTACAATAAAACATTATAGTGAAAAGAAATCACATTCTCAGAAATTAGGCCATCCCAGGTGGTAATTGAAACCAAGACCTTTGGATTAGAAGTCCAACGTGCTATCCATTGCGCTACAGGGACACAACGAACGATTTTCCTTTTTATATATGGTGTTGGACAATTATTTTTGTTTGTTACTATTTATTAATTAATTAAATTTAATTAATGATTTAATGTTTGAAAAAACTAAATTAACATCAAGAGTCGTCCACTACAAGTTTAAAAAAATGCATTTTTGAGCTTGAATGGGTCAATAAAAAGTATTTTATCAATGTTTGAAAATTTGAACAAGATATATGTATAAATAAGCATATATAGGGAGAGCATGAACTAAAAGTAGGAATTCATAAAAAACCACAGTTTTTCAAAATATTATAGAAATAATTTTTAGTAAAAAAATGATGCAATTAATTTTTTTATTCGATTTTATATACGTGTTTATAAATATATATTACGGCAAATGCACTAATATTTTTCTTCCTAGTCTAACGATTTTAGTTTCATTGAAAATCTTTAAATTGGACCGTAAAAAGAAGTTCTCTTTTAGTGCTATTTGCATTGTATTGTTTCCCTCCGTAATTTTTTGTGTTATTTTTTCCCTGTTATTCTAAATTTCCATCTTCCTATTTGACTTCCGTCATGAGTATAAATAGCAACTCCCCAAGCAATGCGGAAAGAGAAAAGGAAGATTTACTTATATAACATTTTTAAAAAAATAAATGCCAGTATCTTTTTTTGAGCAATGTTTTGTGCAATTCTTAAAATATCACTTAAAATTCAGAAAAAGAAATGTGTACTTTTCGTGCAACGAGGAATAACTTCACGTTTGTATAGAAATTTTGTGCAGCTGTAAAAATCCCATTACACTTAATAGTTGACACGAATGTTTGTGAAGGATTAATTAAATTAATTACAAAATGTTGTTCACACTTTATTGAAACGATTTTGATAGTTAATTTTTTATCTATAAATGCCGTTTTTTGTGACAATTTGCTTCTATTTGATAGCCATGATTTTTGACTGTAGCTCGAGCTCAAATATTCTATGAAAGCAAAATTTTTCTTAGTACTGTCATGCTAATTTTACTCCATTCCTCTTGAACCGTTTTTCAATGTCCATTCAGTGTTCTTGGATGCCGTTTTTTTGAGGCTCATTTTAATAAACCAAAAACACAGAACAGAAACGTAGGGTTATTTTACACGTACTGCATCAAATGGGATACACTTTATTCCTGTTTCTGATTCTTTCTATCCTAAATAAGTGGCAGTTGCCTTAAATGTGTGGCTAGAGGCTTTTCCATCAAAGCTCAACCTTATCAATGCTCTTTCCATTGCGGCTGGACCTGAGGTTTTTTCCTACAAAAATTGGTTCTAAAATATCCTGCCGATAGTCGAGTGAATTAATTTTGGCTTTACTTGAGACTTTTTTTTTATTTTTAATTTATCGTTGTAACAAAATCCTTCAACTATCATAAATCCCTTTGAGAACTTTTCTGTACACTGACGAAGCCATTTCGTACGGTTATTCCCGTCAGTTGAGAAGTAGAAAATTAAAATCTTCTTTTATCTCTTCTTAAATATTATACATTTCTCATCAAATGCTACCACAAATTTCCATTTTTTTTCATCAGCTAGGTGTTTTTCATGTAATTTCCCACTGTTATTCTTTCAGCATTATGTTTAGTCAAAAGTAGGGGAACTTTAGGTTTAAAAATCCTTTTTAGCTTTAAATCTTTATCAATGATTTTAATTACAGTGCCGGAAATCATTCTTAGTTTCGATGCAATGAATATTTGAGTCGGCGGATTTTCTTTTAGTACCAGAGAGTTCACTTTCTTGATAGTTACCCGCATTCGAACAGTCTTAGAATGAGGCTTCATGGTCATATTATCATTTTTACTTTTAGCTGGGCGTTTTTTTTTCTTTTCATATTTAATACATAAAAAAATTGATTTTTTTTTAAAATGCAGTAAACGAGATTTTCACACCGCTTTATAACGTCGATACGAATATTTCTCTCCTTATAAAGCATTATCAGACGATTATTCTGAAGTTGCCAAAGTTTTATCTCAAAATGCAAACGAGAAAATAATTTACACTCTAGTTTCCATAAAGTTTAAGCAACCTTCAGTGGTACAGATAATTATCTTTTAAAGTTTTTTTTTGTTGTTGTAACGAAATCTATTATTTTTGCAGAATGGGCTTAATTGATAACGATCGCGTGACAAAGGCAATCACGTGTTCTTCATTGAATTGAAAGCTGACATTAAACTAAATTGTACTTGTTCTATTTGTTAAACTTATATAAAATTTCAATCTTAAAATTGGATATACGTGTTCAAGTTTTACAAAAAAAAAACTTCATCAAAATTTTTTTTATAAAGATTAAAAAAAAATCCATACACGTAAATCAAGTGTATTTTACTTACATATGTGAGTTATTGTTGACAAATATGTACTTTTTATAAGAAAATTTCTGCAAGAAAGCAAAAATTGGCAACAGTGAAACGAAGGGACTGATTAGCTGGAAACACATGAATGCAATTATTCATATGACTGTAAAATCCCCTGAGTTTATAAATTGATTGGCTGGAAACACGTGATTGTGGTTATCTTGTGACTATGAAGTCACATAAATTTAGCCCATTAGTGGAGAGGGGTATAAATAGCTTATTCAACTTTAATTGAATTAGCTCATTAGTATATAACAAAAATATATCAGAAAAACCGTTAGAGGTCCATATATTAGTTTAGTTTAAGGTATCCGACTACGTTCGGAACCGTGATTTTAAAAAGCGCATAAATGGATAATTTTCATGATATTTAATGTCACTTAAATTAGAATACATGTATAAAATTGTTTTAAGGATATTTTGACAAAAAATTATTTAAATACAATACTTTGGCAAAAAATTAACTTAGAATAATCTTTTTTCAAAATGTTCTCCTTTTATAAAAAATGCTTCTAAAATAATAATATTTCGCTTATATAAAGACTTCTTTAGAGAGTCTGAACTAGAGTTTTTGAAAAATTCACATTATTTTCAGAGTTACCAGCAATTGAAATAATTATCGCGCGGCGTTTTTTTCTTAAAATTGCTCCCCACTGTTGTCGTAAGACACATGGATAAACCCACTTCTAAGTTATATATTTCAAAAATTCTAGTTGAGCCTCTGTAGAGAGGTCTGAGCTATATACAGGCAAAATATTATTATAACAGAAGCATTTTTCACAAAAGGAGAATATTTTGAAAATGGGTTATTCTATGTTCATTTTTTGTCAAAATATTGTACTTAAATAATTTTTTATTGTAATAATATTCTTAAAACAATTTTTTATACATTTTCTAATCTAAGTGACACTAAATATCATAAATATTATCCATTTATATGCTTTTGCAAAATCACGCTTCCGAACGTAATCGGATACATTAAATACTGATTAGTCAGCAAAAAATTATAATTTCTTTTCCTGTTTTGGAACAAAAAAAGATATTTTTTTAAGTTCACGTTCTTAATAAATAATGAATAAAATATATAGCTCTTAATGTTTTTTCAATAAAAAAAAAGTGTACAACTTTATCCATAATTATGAATTATAAGTTAATAAATAGCATTTTAACGCTGAAAATACTGGGAAATCGTAGCTTCTCTTAAAAATATTTTGTATGATATTGGAGAAAATTGGAAGAAATTTTTAACATTTCCGACTGCTTTCGGAACCACGATATGGCCGTGGTAGTCTAGAGCAGTGTTCCGCAACCTTTTTATCGCCGCGGACCGGTCAACGTTGGATAATTTTACCGCGGCCCGCTGAGGGGGAGTACTTTGATTGTTTATATTTTAGATTGTTTTGTTTTAATAGTTTTATTTTAATTGAATTTAAATGTGCCTTCAGAATAAAATATAGCTACACCAAAAATGAATATAAAGTGATTTAACAAGGAATATAAAGTGATTTTCATAAAAAGTAGCCTAAACCCAAGAAAAATAAGCCGTAGTAAATAAAATGGAAATAATTTAATGTTTTTTTGCGGAACAGTAGTATTTGATCCACGGACCGGGTGTTGCGGAACACTGGTCTAGAGGTCAAAGTAATGGGCTCGTGGTCGGCGTGTCATGAGTTCGAGCCTAGCACCGCTAAAGATTCGGCGCGTAGGTGGGGGGTGATGCACGGTAAATCTTTCGAGGCTGAAACGTCCTCCCGGTGGTGTGGTGTAGAAGTTAGGAGAGGGGGTACCAGTTCAGGTGTCGTCCTCGTCACTTGACCATGGTTCAAAATTACGAGGTCTGTCGCTAAAAATCCTCGAGTAGCTGAATATAGTACGACATTAATATTCATTCACAAACTCGGTACCATGATTTTGAAAAAAACGCTTACAGGAATAATTCTTTGTTTGATATTTAATGTCATTTTAACCGGAATATGCGTATAAAATTGTTTTAAGAATATTGTTACAATAAAAATTAATTTATGTAAAATTTTTTTGGCAGAAAAAAAAAGTATGACATATTTTTAAACCATTCTCCTTTTATCAAAACTGTTTATTTTAATAATGATATTTTAATTTATATATAGCTAAGATTTCTCTATACTGAGTCTGAAATAAGATTTTTGAAAGATTCACAATATTTTCAGAGTTTCATTCGGTGTTTTTTGTTAAAAATTTCTCTACTCTCTGATATATTAAAATATAAATAAATACACTTAAAATTTTGTACTTCAAAAATCCTTGTGTTCACACACACACACACAGGTTCTGTACAGAAAGCCCATATAAGCAAAATACTATAATATAAGCAGTCTTCATAAAAGGAGAACGTTTTGAAAAAATATTCTTTTTTCATTTTCTGTCAAAAAATTGCATTTCAGTTAATTTGTATCATTATAATATTCTTAAGACATTTTATACATATATATATTCTAACTCGGGTGATACTAAATAAATCGAAAGATAAACATACATTTATACTATTTTTAAATCACGGTTCCCCGAACGTAGTCGAATACCTTAAAAGCCCTTTTATTATACCGTTTATTTTCATTTTTTTGTTTCTAATGGAGATGTGGATCAGCCGTCT